CAGACGAGTTTCCCTGGTGGTGCCCAGAGTGGCCACCAGGGAAACCTGGGGAGGGCTAGCCTCCCACTAGTTCGAATTAAGTGGCTACACAGCCCTTAATTCGAACTACTTAATTCGAACTAGGCGTTAGTCCTCGTAGAATGAGGTTTACCTAGTTCAATTAAGCGCTCCACTAGTTCGAATTAAGTTCGAACTAGCGGTTTGCCTGTGTAGCGCCTATTAAAGTTAATTTGAACTAATGGCTATTAGTTCAAATTAACTTTGTAGTGTAGACATACCCTCAGATATTACACACACTACAGATTTTTGCTATATTGACCAGTAAAACAAAGAATTCAGGCCCAAGAAAAATTAAGTCACTTCTATTGTTAAAGGGGCAATTCATATAACCAGGGTTCCATTACTTTATTTCAGCTTAGAACCATCTCCCTTGCATATCTTTGGGAGGAGAATATACGCAAATTACGTTGTTTTTAAAAATAAATCATTCTTTTAATGTAACTACTTCTGAGACATAAGTACTGCTTGTTTGCTTTGCAGCAGCTTTGGGAAACCTATACGTTCATAAATAGCTTGGAGTGAAGACAACTGAAATATCTTTTTAAAAGAATTAACCAAATTTTTGAAAGAGAATTGTGTTTTCATCAATGTGAGTGAAAATTTAGGTCCACTTCTTAACTGTTCCATCACTAAATTGACTTTATGGACTTATATTAGATCTGGATCATTAACCCAGAATTCTGAACCAGGTTAATGTCTAGATTTCAACACCTGTGCTCTGCCTCAGATGTTCAACTATGTTTAAGATTGGATTTCTAGTCCTGCCCCTGCTTTTCTGCAATTCTGTTGCCATCTTCTCTCCTACAGAATCTAACCATACTATAGGAGTATGCCAAAGAATTAGAGCTTTTAAAAAACAACCTTCCAAATATGCTACATATAAGGGTTTGTCAAAATAAATTTGGCATTTCTGGACATAGGCCATCCCTAACAAATGCCATTAAAGCTATTTATATACCTTTGCAATATCCTGCATTCTGAATGTGCCACATTTTTTACGGAAAAGCTACTTTAGAATTGTTATAGAGAGTTTCAGATAATATACTGGGGAATCATTCTTGCAAATGCCTGTAAAGCCAGACAGCTTAGTTACCATAGGATGTGATTTTCAAAAGCGTTCAGCATTGACCTCTCTCTGCGCCCATTGATGTCAACAGAAAATTTATCATTCACTTCAACGGGAACAGAGATAGACCAATGTTGAGTGC